ATGATTAAAAAAAGTCAACTCAAAGGTTATGTGCCTAATGGAAATACTCACGATGCCTATACCAGTTCGATATAATCAACGTTTCTTGTAAATATGTTATCATTTTTTAAAAACTGATATAGTTTTTTTAGTGTTTGTACTAATGTTTCCCAACTTACTCATAACCGCATAAGGTTGTCATAATTATTATCCTCGTCGTTGATAATGTAACCTGCATGGTACCACCATGGTCGCCAGTAAGTCTACAAATTTCAGTATGTTTTTTTAATATCGATAAAATATGATCACATTACTTAAGAACTACCTGATTTCCTTGCATAACCTGTCCGTCACAATTTTATTTGCTTCAACTAGCATTCTTTTGGTTTGTTGCGTCAATTGTATTTATTACCTGATTTGCAGAGTCAAAAGGCTTGATGTTGTTCATATAGGTTTTTGTTTCCCTTAACTGTGAATAATAATTGAATCTTTCAATGAAAGTTTTAGTAAAGGGGTTTTAGTGATGCAATCATATTCTTCCTTGTCGTACCTGTTTCATTTAGCCTTATAAGATTTTCCTCTGCAATTATCACAAAGTAAAATTTGATTTAGTAGCATACGTTTCCTTGAATTGCAGCTTAAACATTAACAGCAATTAAATTGTCCAGCTGATCATAATGTAAACAAATATGTTCTTTATAAGGATAACATGAGAACTTTTACAGCTGATCGTAATGTAAACAAATATTTTCTTCATAAGGATAACATGAGAACTTTTACAGCTGATCATAATGTAAACAAATATGTTCTTCATAAGGATAACATGAGAACTTTAAAAGCCACTGGGGCAGAGCCCAAGGGACTGTTTTGAAAATTTAATGTAAGTTTGCGCTCCGTGACACACTCTTTCCAATGAGACGTGAATGCTCAAAATCGGTAGAGAAATGGCGGAGGAGTTCAGAGGACAAATTTCGTGTTGGCGTGTTAATTATATAGATTACACGGATAGTAAATAGTTAAACTTCATCCTATTGAAATTTTTTATACAAAAGATATGCTGTTAAAAATTGCGAGTCCAGTTTTAAGTCTTAGAACCTCAAGACTTAGGATGATATTGCTTCATCGAGGGATGTGTTTTCAGACACAGGTGTTTGATTGTGAGCGGTACGTTTTGAACGATATGACATAAACATGTAAAACTAAACAAGAAAGAGGGAGAACCTCTTTTAACTGCTCAGTCCGACAAACTTTTCTGTGCATTACTTGAGCAATTTGTACTAGCTATCTCACTGTCGCGAATGTGCACTCAGTATACTTGCAGTCCAGTACTGTACTCCACGTGCGTGTACACTCACACTGTACAGAGTGTGCATTATACTAGCTATCTCACTGTCGCGAATGTGCACTCAGTATACTTGCAGTCCAGTACTGTACTCCACGTGCGTGTACACTCACACTGTACAGAGTGTGCATTATACTAGCTCTCTCACTGTCGCGAATGTGCACTCAGTATACTTGCAGTCCAGTACTGTACTCCACGTGCGTGTACACTCACACTGTACAGAGTGTGCATTATACTAGCTCTCTCACTGTCGCGAATGTGCACTCAGTATACTTGCAGTCCAGTACTGTACTCCACGTGCGTGTACACTCACACTGTACAGAGTGTGCATTATACTAGCTCTCTCACTGTCGCGAATGTGCACTCAGTATACTTGCAGTCCAGTACTGTACTCCACGTGCGTGTACACTCACACTGTACAGAGTGTGCATTATACTAGCTATCTCACTGTCGCGAATGTGCACTCAGTATACTTGCAGTCCAGTACTGTACTCCACGTGCGTGTACACTCACACTGTACAGAGTGTGCATTATACTAGCTCTCTCACTGTCGCGAATGTGCACTCAGTATACTTGCAGTCCAGTACTGTACTCCACGTGCGTGTACACTCACACTGTACAGAGTGTGCATTATACTAGCTCTCTCACTGTCGCGAATGTGCACTCAGTATACTTGCAGTCCAGTACTGTACTCCACGTGCGTGTACACTCACACTGTACAGAGTGTGCATTATACTAGCTCTCTCACTGTCGCGAATGTGCACTCAGTATACTTGCAGTCCAGTACTGTACTCCACGTGCGTGTACACTCACACTGTACAGAGTGTGCATTATACTAGCTCTCTCACTGTCGCGAATGTGCACTCAGTATACTTGCAGTCCAGTACTGTACTCCACGTGCGTGTACACTCACACTGTACAGTCTACAAGCAAAAGCGGAAAGTGCAACGAGGTGTGTCATTCGTGTCCGGCGACACACACACACAGGCCTACAGTAGTAGTACACAACACATACGTCACGCTGATGGGTCTGGTGGAAATAAGTTCATAACCAAAACACCACATACACTGATGAGATTTATAACAACTACTTTAAAATGTTCGTTAATTTTTCAAGATACTGGAATTACTTTTTACTGAGGTTTCGAGGATCCTCTGAATGTTAATGTAATACAGTATTTATGTACGAGATCGAAAAAATTAATTTGCCCTTTTAGTCAATACGAGGTGTTAGCCCGTCCTACGTACGGGGAGTATTCAGTCAAAACGGTGTAGGCCTATAATTCAGAACAGCTAGTTTACAAATTTTATTGCAGCCTACAGTAGAAAGATTATTAATTATCAATTGAGAAGTGTATAGGCCTAGTCAATGATATCACCTTCCATCGCATACCTACCTCTTCCATAATCAATATCACCACAATACAATTACTTATACTATACACAAATTTCCAGTAGGTCTGAATAGAAACTCCCTAAAATAAAACGAAAACATCCAATACAATTCACAGTACACATAATTATAACGTTGGTGTCCTGATATCACTAAACGAATCGTCCACACACATCCTTTATGTCAATTTCACTGCATCAATTGCTAAATAAATAAGTTTAAACAAAGAAAAGTATACACAACAACATATTAGTTTGTTTTGTAAACAGCTGAGTCAAAAATAATATTCATTTGAACAAAAAAACTGGGCACATGTTGAAGGAATTTAAAAAGTAAAAACGCTAGTAAAGCTAGTGACGTAATTAATTGTCTATGTTTATTATCCATTCCGTTATCAGTTCCAATATCCTTGATAATTGAACCACCCTCATTGAATCCATGTACATCGTAATTCCCCATATTCATTTATTTAAACTATAAAATATTCAGCGCCTCCAAACGTAACCACAACTAAACACACGCCAAACAACTTTTTTAGATTTCATAAAAGGATGGTTAGTCTAATTGCAGTATCCTAGGTCAATGATGACGTTGTGTTCAATCTATGTCATTCATCTTATATCTTTGGATAATACCCGTCTGAGGTTGTGGTGGCAATTTAAAATCGTATTCCTGAGGATTCTTGAGCTCCATCTTTATGACATCAATATTTCCGGGCCTAATCCAAGCAAAGTTCAGGCATTCAAAACCATTGTTTGTAAACAAAAAGCTGCCAAGATGAATTAAAACATGTAAAACTTGTGATTTTTCTACCCTTTCCAAAAAAGTTGAGCGGTAAAATAATTTGCATTTCTTTTTTTATTTAACTCGTGTACAGAGCCTCGACTTGTACACATCGATGATGTTACTTATCTCGGTGGTCTACTAATCTTACTTATTTCCCATAATCAATGACAAAACCTGAGTAAATAACCTCATAGTTCTATAGGGCAGTTTAACCAGCTGTTAGTTAAAACAAATTATATTGCTCTAAAACAAATCGAAGATTACAAAGATTGCTTTAAAAAATAATTTGAACATCCTAGTATTTTACTATGTATATTAAATTAATCTGTCATCCTCTTACAGAAGAATTGAACGTATCAATGATTAGCATTACACATAGTATAAATAAGTCAACCCTAAGTATGTCTTTACATTTTTATCCAAATGCTGAATTTGCGACACAAAAGCTGAATGTTTACAGCTGTTATGTTAAGCAAATTAATTTATGCCAAAAGCTAGTTTAGAATCTTAGCGTCGGCTGCTAGACTTTTTAAAAATTAAAACTTAATTTCTAAAAATCTGGGACCCTAAACTAAAATTATGGCTTCGACATTCCCTAGTTCTCAAAATTATCTTTCTTTCAACACAAAAATCATGAAAATCCGTCGAGTGGTTGATTCAGAATCGTGAAATAAAAAAACACTGTTTCGTTTTAATATTATAGACTTATTTTTGTCGTCACAAGTAGTGCAGTAGGCTTACATACTGTGCAATATTTTATATTTACAATATAAAAATCTGTATTTAATAAGAAAAGTACAGCGAAAAGAGAACGAGTATTTAAATTGACAGGGGAACAATTCTTTAGCTTGGCAAAACAAAAAAGTATTATATTCAGAAGGGCATGTACTTGCTTGCGTTACACTGAAAAATGTCCTTCCTTTGTCTGGTCCACAACGTTAATCAATGTTCGTTTCCTTTCTGGCAATGTGGCCTTAAAATAGTCACATTTTAATTTGTCTTATGGCAACATCTGCAGTAATTTTTTAAGGAATGACAATATATTAGTTTTACACTGTAAGGGGTTTCTGTCTCAACTCACATAAGTCCTCAAAGTACAATAAAACAACCTACTTATTTCTATTACAACATTCCCGACATAAAACAAACTGGCTGTAACTAAAGTAGTCCAGAAGACACCAAATGCATGTTTAGTGGTTCTAGAACAAAACAAAAACGAATATTCTTTGATCCTGAGAATTAGCAAGAAGGAACGGCGCGGCGCAGCAGACGGACCTTGTAGGGCAGCCGAGGCCAGATATGGCAGAGGCTACATTGAAATGCGACCAGCGACCATCGCCACGATTGTTCTGGGTAGGCTATTTATAACACGGTGGAACGATGAAAGTGTAGAAAGCGAAATGACCACTGAGATGCTGGGCAATGGCCACCGTAAATATCCGCTGGAACTGTTAGTGGCCAGTTGAGGTCAGCGGTCAGTTCTAGGGTATGTAGTCGTAAACTTGATGTACGTCTTGCGACTCGATTGAGAGGTTATAAACAATAAATTGCGAATAGGAAATACAGGTATTACGTATTGAAAATTGTAATTCGATTTTTATTTAGAACCTATTAAATAACTCTCAAAAATGACACAATTTTAAAATATATTTTCTATCAGGTAAGTATACCACTTTATGATTAATCAGTAAAATATGGACGGTTTGCTTTACTTAAACCTGTAATCATGCGAATTGTGTTTCGAAACAGAGACGTAAAGCTAGAAAATGGTTGTCAACTCAACACCTCAGAGCAAGGTGATGACCGATATTCATACAAGTGTTGTCAGTGGAACCTTGAGGTTGCATCAGAGACGTCAGCCGCAGGAAGCGCTCCAAGACATTACACGGTTGACAGCCCGCGAAGACGGTGTAGGTCCTAGCTTGGGACAATCAGAACACAACCGTCATATTATAATTTGCTTTGTCCATTCGATGAACCTAGCATTCAACTTCGGTGATGATGTTTGAAGGGACTAAATACAATTTAAACTCAGTACAATGAATGTAGAAAGAACGTGTGAAACATAAGGAACACTAAGTCAAACAAATAGTGGAATCGGATTTTATGCATCAATTCATGACGAGTAAAATAATGTAATTGGATAACATTTAATTGATCTTTTTCGGAATACAGGAAACAAAATTCAGGTGCTATATACTATGATTGTTTACATTTAGAATGGCAGTAACATAGATTAAAATGGCAGAGGGATTTCAAGGTTAAGTACAGCAAACTTACCGATGAGTTTCTGGGCAACAGTCGGACACCTCCTTGACATTTTGGAGTTAGGGAAAGTCCTCCTAGGAGCTCAACACTTGCACAATCCGTCTGGTCCTCAGAGTCCGTGAATGTAGTAGGGGAATGTGATGAGGATGTCGTGGAAAGACTCTCACTCTTCCTCGGTTCCGACGAGGAGGACGTACTCCTGGAAGGGTTCTTCCACACGTGACTAGATGAGGTGAAGAGTGGCGACTCGGCGGTCGTAGAAGCGTCACTGTTGGGTCTAGAGGACGACGCTGAAGAGCTGGAGTAATCCTGGGGGAACCCCGAGGTCGACGTCGACGAGTCTATCTTGGACCGACTCCGGCTCGGGTCGGGGATGAGCCCTACAGGCTCCCACACCTCACTAGTCGTGCTGGTGTAGAAGTTGTCCTCTTTGGTCTCCCTGGACCTCTCGTCCACCACTTGTCCTCCTCGCGACACACTCACTTCCTCCCTCGTCACAACACTACTCTTGACACTCAGGCTCGTCTCCAGCCTCACCGGCGCCCGCAGGATCCCCGCCCGCACCAGGATCTGGTTGAGGAGGTCGCAGTGAGGGACTGTACCGTGCAGCAGCGCCTCCCTGATAGCGGCACCGTCCTCGCCCTCTAGCTTGATGGGACATCCGTTGACCAGCAGCACCTCCTCTTCCTTGACACAGGACTTCTTCTCACAGTCCACCACCTTCACCCCCTTTCCAAGGATACTCTCCACGGTCTCCTGTATCTCCGTGTCATCCATCGCTACAACTCAAGTCAACGGCTACATGCTGTCAAACTCCAACCAACCTAAAATACAATCAAGTTGGTTAGCGAAAATGCAAACATTTAAATACACTTAAGAGAAAATTTAGATTTGGCGCAGAAAGAACCATCTTGCCGATTCATCTAATTCAGTTTATTATGTTTCAATATTTTGAGTATATCTACGAGGGTATGTGTTTTGAAAAAAAAAAAACATTTGTGTATTCAAGACTTTTAAAACAAAGAAATGTGCCAACATGCATTTAAAACACAGTTAGTTTTTTATGTAACACTCGATTTATGGTGTGGCCATTTTATTTATGCTGCATTGATCGACAAACGATGAGGGGGTTAGAGTATGATAAATAATGGTGTTATAAAAGAATATTTCATCGCTGACAAGAAAATTGAATCGATTGAGATAAATGCCCGGAGACGTGGTTATTTGACGGTAATGTCTCAGCTGGACGTGAGCCAAGAGGTTGTCGCGTCGCCACGCGCCTGAGGTTCTCACTATACTGTATAGACACACATACACACGTTCACGTATGTTACACGCGAAAACATGCCACATTCCGTCACATATAAAGTGTCAAACGGAGCTCTCGACGTGACCAGCGGAGCAATAGGTTGGAAAGTCCTCACAACCATGTAGAATTTTAGATAATACGCATTTTTTAATGAGTGATATTTTAAACAGCCTACACTCATACATTTAGTTACAGTATTCTTCTTTTTTGTACAATGCTTTTTTGTGGTACGTCTTTTTTTTTTGCAATAATTTGAAGGATGAAATTTTAGATGAAGAAACAAATCCTCTTTGAAAATAAACGGCAATACAAAGAGCATTGGTTATGGAGAAGGGATGTTGTCACTATTTTTATTTCTGACCAAATGGAGGCCTAGACGGTCCAAGAACATCAAGTGACAGAATAAGGAATAACGATGTTGTTAGCCGGTCCCGAGTGGACGATGACGACTTGGGTTCGAGAGTATTTGACGTTCAATAGCCCTACAGTCTCTACACTCCACACTCCAGACCTCGGCCTCTTGAACCACTTGAGACAGCTGATGAACACACTCGCACGTTGTACCGCGATCGTATCAAACATCACGACTACAATATTGACTGTTGAGGCACTGCGACATTTGTTTACAACAGTTGTAATTAAATGCTGTGACGAGAAGTTAAATGTTCCACTTCCACAACTTACAGTCCTGAGAACTTAACGGAGCAAAGGCTTAAGGTTTAATTAATTAATAGACGTATCACAACTACTGCGGTTGTATGAGGCAGCGACCGAAGTTAATGAAAGCAGACGGTGAGAATTGGGGTAGATTGTAATCTGTGGTTAAGGGTGGAGAGACTCTGAGAGTGAGGAGGGGAGGGGGGGAAAGGTAAGTTGAACCTCACTCTGACTGAAGTTAACAGCTGTTTCAAACCCGTCTGAGGAGATTACTTCTTTATTGTTTAAAGTAAAACCTCTTAAAGAAATAAGCATTCGAGTGTCACGAAGGAGCTTTACTTCTCAACACTTAATATTACAATGTTTATTTTCTCGTTTTACCTGTTTAAGCATTGTTATTCACTCGGTTGTTTTCATATAATTTTATTAAATATAATTCATACTAATTACGTTGTAGGTAGAAGTAAGAAACCTAAAAACAAAACATAAATGCAATTTTAAACAATTTTTACAAAGTAATAATTCCCTGATCATTATTCACGGGAAAATTATTCCAACGTTCCGAGACTTCTGAGTACCAAACTTATATTTCGCACGTCGTAAGACCCTCTCTGGCGAAAGGAGGGGAAAATTGATTTTACAATCAGAATCGTTTTATAAAGCCGCGGAGGAAGTGCGTATCGTATTTCTATATGAATAAATTATTTTCGAGAGCCTGAGGGGCGACTCCCCTAGCGCGTGGCACCCTCGCCAGCTGTGAGTCACTGTAGCGGAGCCACCCGGGCCACCCGGACATGTACTGTACTGTACACAATGTCTACGTTAGTGCTTATACAAAACAAAATACAGATAATTTGATATTAATAACAACTACTATACAGGGTGTCCATAAAAAACGTTTCAGGACTTTGGGAAATGAATCCCCATACTAAAAGGAAGAAAAAAGTTTATGGGAAGGTATGTCCGAAAATGCATATTAACCCAGATATCCGCCATTTTGTTTTTTATACAAACATATTTTTATCTGCGAAGTTTTTTATCCGATGATTATGAAATTTGGTAAACATGTTAACATACACAAGACCTATAATAGACAAAATTATAACATTGTTCCAATTGTAAATTTTAAAATGGCGGCCATTTGAATTTTTATAACTTAAATAACTCAAAAACGGCTAATTCTACGAAAAAATGTCAAGAATACTTTATTTTTGCATTTTTAATTTCCTATCAAACGATACCAAGATCAAAAAGATCGGACAAAATATAACTGAAATATAAGGTTTTTTGTGTAAAAATAAGGCAAAGTTAGTCGGGGAACCCTTATTTTTTGCCTTATTTTTACACAAAAAAACCTTATATTTCAGTTATCTTTTGTCTGATCTTTTTGATCTTGAAATCGTTTGATAGGAAATTAAAAATGCAAAAAAAAAGGATTCTTGACATTTTTTCATAGAATTAGCCGTTTTTGAGTTATTAAAGTTATAAAAATTCAAACGGCCGCCATTTTGAAATTTACAATCGGAACAACTTTAAAATTTTTTCTATTATAGGTCTTGTGTATGTTTACATGTTTACTAAATTTCATAATCATCGGATAAAAAACTTCACAGTTAAACATATTTTTGTATAAAAAACAAAATGGCGGATATCTGGGTTAATATGCATTTTCGGACATACCTTCCCTTAAACTTTTTTCTTCCTTTTAGTATGGGGATTCATTTCCCAAAGTCCTGAAACGTTTTTTATGGACACCCTGTATACTATAATGTACAAGCAAATTATAAGAGTTTCACACATAGTAAACTTCTGCGGTTTTAAGAATTGACACTACGGCCTTTCTGTGATAATCAAGATGTAAAAAATTCTATGTAAACTGAAAGCGAACTTTTAATGATTCCTACAGAGGATCGTTGTGATATAACACGTACTTGAGTATGTGTATGTTATTCATTACGTCCCACTAATTCAATATTGTTATCAATCACTTTAGTCTTTGATATACTGTAATCGTTACTTGGAAATGCAAACGTACTTTGTTTATAAATGACATTTTCAAATAGTTTACTTTAACAAGGTGTTAATGTTATAAAAGTACATCTTTAAATTTTTAGGGCGCCTCTAAACAATGTTACAATCGTATAAGTTTAAATAACCATCTTGATTGATTTGACCATTGACTATAGTCAATGATATAACCCTTTGATTATACAATAAACTATACACGGCGAAGCCATAAAAAACAAGTTTATAAACAAATAATAAATACAGTATGGATCAACAAATTATAATTGAGTTAAACAGTGTGATTGGTACTCAGTGTGACAAAAATTTTTTGGTGTAAGTACAAAGTAAATGCAGTATGATGATGCATTTAAAATGTTCCAAGTCTATAAATTAGCTTCCCAAAGAATTATTTTATGTTTTTCAAAAATAACTATGTTTTTAAACTTAATACAGCTATTTCTCAATTACCTGTAAATGGATTTGAGTAGATAATGTCATTTTCGTGTTCTACGTTACATTTTGAATAAGAATAATACAAAATGACAGAGGATCAGTTGTAAAAACTCCATTGTAAATAGATTCAAAGATAAAAATTAAGATGTTTGATAAAAATGTAAAAAAACATTGGTCAATTGGATTAGTTCACACCCTGTATACAAGAAAGTGTCGGAATATGTTAAAAACTGCGCCATTTTATAACCTTTCCAACAATATGCTACACCATTGAGCTTTATGTCTGCTTATGTACTCTTTAGTGGTTTGAAGGCTACAAAGTATGGTGTCTTAAACATTTAAAACATAGAAAGTCGGCATGTATTAAGCAAAAGTTGTATTTTTGTTTCAGCTTGAACAGTAAAACAGTAAAAAAGTTCCCTGTTTTCTGGCATTCAAACCACTAAAACAAACAAAAAAAATATCTAAACCTCAATAGTGTAGCATATAGTTGGAAAGCTTATAAAATGGCGCAGTTTTAAACATATACCGACACATTCTTGTATACAGGGTGTAAAAAATGCACCAGACCATTGTTTTTTTTTTAATTTTTATCAAACATCTTAATTTTTATCTTTGAATCTATTTACAATGGTGTTTTTACAACTGATCCTCTGTCATTTTGTATTATTCTTATTCACAATTTAATGTAGAACACGAAAATGACATTATCTACTAAAATCCATATACAGGTAATTGAGAAATCGCTGTATTAAGTTTAAAAGCATGGTTATTTTTGAAAACATAAAATAATTTTATATTAAATGCAGTTATGACTTGGTTTATTGTGCTAATAGTACTCTAGTTTGGTAGTTTAGTAACTACATTTATCTCGCCAATTGTCCACAATATCACAAATAATCATTGGAACCAACTGCTTGTTATAATAGCACACACGGCCACCCGAGTTGACGATAGTGTAATTATAACCTTGCTCGTATTACAGCAGCCATTTAACGTTAATAGGTAATTACATAAACTCTACCTACCCATCGACGAATACGTGGCTTCACGAATAAAAACAATTTGAAGAGGGAATGGAAGATAAAAAAGTTTAATGAACAGATCTAAATGCATGAAGTGGTGGTTTAGTGTCGTGGACCAGAACATGGAGTATCGTGGCCAAGTTATGGCTGTGACACAAAAACAAACTCGGACCCCAACAGACCTCGCAGTCCAAGGATAGTGTAGCATTCAATCTAGCTGCAGGCACCAACGTTCTTGATCGAATCCCTATGAAGGGAAGAGGTTATCACATTCATGATAAGAATGGGGTTCGCGTCCACTATACCACAGAAAACGTACGACTATACTTATCACATTTTGGGGTTGTTTAAATACAAACAAATGGATCAAAAG